TTCCTTCCTTCCTTCCTTCCTTCCTTCCTTCCTTCCTTCCTTCCTTCTTTCCTTCCTTTCTTTCTTTCTTTCCTTCTTGATAGGGTTTCTCAGTAGCTTTGGAGCCTGTCCTGGAATTAGCTCTTGTAGACCAGGCTGGCCTTGAACTCACAGAGATCCGCCTGCCTCTGTATCCCCAGTGCTTGTATTAAAGGCATGAGCTACCACCTCCTGGCTATTTTTTTTCTTTTAGAAAAATTGTAAAAATTTCCCTAATTACTTGGTGGTTTCCTTTAAGGAGGGATCATGATTTGATCTCATTAGGTAGAAGGGTACACCAAATGAGAGGACAGCATGAAGGAAGTTTTCAAAACAATAAATGGGAAAATAGCAGCCTTACACTCTGTATCAGTAACACGGGGCTGGCAGGCCTACACTGGTTGTCTGTGGAGGCCACCTCCTCTCTCACTTAGCTGTGTGTCTGTGTCTGGATGAGTGTGCTGATGTTGGCACTTATCTTTTCAGTCTTGTGGGGTTAGGACAAAGGAGGGGCATCATCTGCCTGCCTCATCCAGTCCTGTGGGACCTTTGATTTTATTTCTCTTGGCTGAAGTTCTTGTTGGACTGCTATCTGAAATCACCTAGGCATCTCTGTCATTGCTGTGTTCTTATGGTCACACATCTTGGTGTGCTGATGAAGGAGTCGGAGTCTGGTTCCCTGCGTGGCTCACACCTTACCTGGTGCTGTGTCCCACCCACGGCCTCTTGTCAAAGAAGAAAATTCATAAGCGGGACCCTGTCAGAGGAAAGTGGCTAGCAAGGTTGGAGAGAAGTCAGGAGAAACTTAGTATTTGGAAGTGCTGAATTTGGAAAAGATAATTCTTATTGGCAGTATACAAGAGATTTCTCCAAATGTGGAGAGCGGAGTAGCCTAGTCCCAGGGTGGCAAATATTTGGCTTTCAGACATTGGTGCCATCCCATCATGCGTTTCCCTGGCAAGCATCACCAGTCAGTATTAGTGCTCTCTTCTGTCAGGCCCCCCTGGGTGCCTTGAATGGTCACCACCAGTGGAGTGCGGTGGTGGCATTATGAGAGGAACTCATAACTCTTTGGTTTAGTCTGAGGCTCCCGAGGGCTGTCACATGTGTGTGTGGCACATGCATTTGCTCATGGACCTTTGCAGGGTGGAGTGGTGTGGAGTCCCCTGAGGGCTCTGGGAAGTGTGGCTGCACCCCTGGTTGGGAGTTGGCATGAAGATTGTATGTTAGGCTGCCTCAGTGGGGACAGCATGCTACTCTCCCTGCTGGGGACATGGTGAGGGAGGGAGCCTGTCTATGTTAGATTTCAGCAGTGGCGCTCAGACTTTCTAGTCTCAGGATCTCTTTATGCATTTAACATTGAAGATCCCTGTAGCTCTTGTTTATAGGGGAATTCCATTGACATTTGCTATATTGGTAATTAAAACTTGGGCCTGGAGAGATAACTCAGTGCTTAAATGTGCTTGCTGCTCCTCTAGAGGTCCTGAGTTCAGTTCCCAGCACCCATCTTGGGTTGCTCATAACTGCCTGTAACTCCAGCTTCAAGGGATCTGACTCCCCCTTTTGGCCTCAGGTAGCCCAGGCAGACCTCAAACTTGCTATTTAGCTGAGGATGATATTGAACTTCTGACCTTCCTGCCTCCATTTCCCAATGGCTGGAATTATAAGTGTGTGTCACCACATTTGGCATATGTGGCACTGGGGTTCAAACCTAGGGCTTCACTTATGCTAGGCAAGTACACTATCAAACCAGGTTACATCCCATCCCTTAATGTGGAACCTTAAACCACATAAATGTGCTTTTTGTACTTTATTAGTTCCCATAGGTCTGTCACGCGTGTTGAATCTTTTATTCCTGTATGATTAAGTAGCACGATGCACCAGTCATTTGAAATATATCAGTTGCTGAGTCATACCTCATTATATGGAAACCATAAATAAAAAACAACGCATTTATTGATGTGACCTCCAAAGATTGCAGTGACTTTAGGTTTCTCCCGGCCCCCAAGCACTTGGTGTCGGATTCCCGAAAGTTCTGGTTTTACCCTGCACTTTGTATTTTATCACTGAGAACAGGACATCATTTGTTTCCCTTGGTGTGACAGGCTCAGTTTATTTTTAAGAAATGCCTGCCAAATTCCAAGTCTGAAACCCCATGGTTTGTCTGCCGTTCCCTGAAAATAACAGCAAGTTCCCTTCACTCACAGTTACATGGTTACGCAGGCTGTAGCTACTCTCCTTCCTGCTGGGCCAGTGGGCACACGCGCCTCCCATTTGGTTGCATGGAATGCTGAAGACGTGTGCTGTGTACAGACTGAGAGGGGTTAATACTGCTTAAACTCAAGCTCCTGTGCGTCTGCCCTCCAGGTAAATCAGTGTTCTAGTTGTTCACTAAAGCTTACATTTGTGTAAAAAGCCAGCAGTTTTTCTTACTGGTCATATTTCTACTGTCTTAGTCAGCTGCCTGCCACTCTGACAAGGTGTCTGAGGATGGATATTACATAGACAGGGTATTTATTTAGGCCATAGTTTTGGAGTCTCAGAGTCTTAAGACTCCTGTGTGCTTGGTTGGACTCTGGTGAAGACCTTTTGTCTACATGGCACAGCAGATGCCAACATGGCAGGAGTGTATGTGAGAGAGGCAGGCTATGTGTATGAAAAGGAACTCAGGGGAGGTGCCAGGTTCTTTTTCAACAAGCCATTCTGGTAGGAATATATCCAGTCCCATGAGATCAGTATTGATCCCCTCAAAGGCTGGTGCCTCTATGACCCACTTGCCTTCTGCTGGGCCCGACTGTTTCAAGCTTCCTCCTTCTTAACACCATCAACTCACAGCACGTGGACCATGAGGACACACTCAAGTCATATCTCGTTACTTTAAGGTTTGTTTTGAACTCCGGAAAGGGTCTGGGGACCTCTACGGTAAGTGGAGTGGACCGCACTTTGAGAACCAGCGGTACAGTGAGTGCCAGGGTCCTGTCTTCTACCAAGACGGTTCAAAAGGCCTTTAGTGTGTGCAGGTGAGACTTCATGCCTGATGGGAAGGATGTGATGTGATCCACCTTAAGAGCATTGCTGCAGAGTCCTTTGGTAATTGTTTTGGGAAGCTAGGTTTTCCTTGCGACCTCTGATTCTGGTGAGGTGCCTTGAATGGTGGTTGCTGTAGGATTTCCTAGGTTTTCTGGTAGATGTTTGGCATTTTGGTCACATGTGCTGGTTGCTCAAGAGAAAGGATTGAAGACTTGCTGGGTATTCCATCAGTTTTTCCTAGTAAGTCATGGATGAGGCGAGAGGCTACACACGTTTCTCCTTGGGAACGGTGACCGATGTTCCCATCACTCTATGCAGCTATGCCCTGATCAGCTTTGGAGCAGATTTATGATATCTAGTCATGTCCGCGAGGCCAGAAAACTATAAAATTAGCTCTCCTTATTCCTGCCTAGGGTACCACTGGCCCCTGAGTTGTTTCTGGAAATGCTTAGAGGCCCTGATGTCTGTACCAGGGAAAGCCCCAAGGTGTACTTTGTCTCTCTGCAGGAGTCTGCATCCATTGCCCCATGATTAGTAGCAGGGGTGCCATTTCATCAGCAAATCACCAGTAGGAGGGCAGTAGTCCACCTGATTCTATTGGATTCCTTCCTTTCAAATAAACAGATGTCGGGTGCTAAGGAGGTATAGGTGGCTAAGCTGGGGTCTCCATGGACGCCAGAGGTGAGGGAAGAATGGATTTGGCCATTCCTGATCTGCCACCAGGAGAGACAAGGAGTGCGACTGACCTGCTGATTGCCATGATTCTGTGGTATACCTGCTGTGCCTTAGGGCTGTGCCCTATCCTATGTATGGTTGTAAGAGGGAAGGGCTACAGGCCCCTGCCCCCCAAACCTGGGGACCAAATGTCATCATGGTGCATATTCCACATAGCATGTAACTTGATAAGCAAAACCAAATATCTCTATAGCTAAACATGAGCTTCTTATAAACTTGGCGACCACATCCTAATCCTCATTAAAAATGCCAAGCTGGGTTGTGGACAGCGTGTGTTCCTGGTGAGGGTGTGAGGGATAGAGAAGTAGAGTAGCTTCCACAGATGCCAGCTGGAGGTGAGAACACAGCAAGTAGAAACTCAGGCGATAGGTTTCCTGCCCCCGAGGGTGCCCCGGGGTCTATGCAGCAAGGTGCATCCGTGAGTAGGTCACATGCCACTGATGTATGGCATCTTCCTGAATAGGTTAAGGGGAGGAGTTGGTCCCCCCAGGCCTCAGGGGATCTGACAGAAGAGGAGGCAGAAAGAATGTAAGAGCCAGAGGGGCTGGAGGTCACCAAGGAATCAAGGCCTTCCTAACACAGTGCACGTATGAACGCATGGAGACTCAGGCAGCTTACACAGGGCCTACACGGGTCTGCACCAGATGGGGTCCTGAAAGGAGAATTGGACACAGGCCCTCATCTCCTAAACCTAGCCCTGATGAAAATTATTTTTCTGCAAGGGAATCTCACTCTTAAAGGTAGGCCCCATTCATGCGCAACAGTAGAAGGCCAACTCAAAGCAAACTCAATGGCATCTTTGCAAATTGTTTTGTGTTAAGTCAGAGCATTCTCTCTCTCTCTCCTTACCTTACAGGTCCTTTCTGTATATATTGTTTTGTGTTTTGTGGGGTTCCTGTGTGTATGAATGTGTGTATCTCTGCATCTATGTGCATTTATTGTGCTTTTTCTTTGGCTCTCATTTGGGTGTCCTATTCCAATTTGTTTGTTTTGTTTTTATCGTTTTATTTTATTTTGTTATTATTCCCTAGTGACTGTGTTTTATAAGGAGAGAAAGAAAGGGTTTGAGTCCAGACGGGAAGGAAGGTAAGGAGGGACAGGAAGGAGTAGGGAAAGGGAAAACTGTAATCAGAATATAGTGTATGAAAAAAAGCATTTTCAAAAAAAGAAGAAAAAAAAGGAAGGAGTTGGGGTGGGAGCAGATCTTGTGGGGAGGGACCATCACAAGGAATAAAGAAAGTATTTTTCCCAGCTTCCCTAGCTGAGGATGCCCTTGGTCTCTTTCCTTACCCCTCCAGGACTCTTTCCGCAAGCGCTCTCTGAGACGGTCCTCATCCTTGAACAGGAAGCTCCATGCCCCAGAGGAAAGTCAGCAGCCGTCTGAGGCTCTCGTCCACACTCCAGCCTGTCCAGGCCCACAGGAGGTCCCCACTTTGAGTGGTGACTCCATCTCCAGGAGCCCTCTGGGCCAGCTGAATGAGCTGCCTGTGGAGAAGCCAAATGCCACTTCCAGCAGCCAAGAGCTGTCCCAGAGAAACAGGCCCAGGCTCAGAAGTGTTTTAGAGGACGGCCCGTCGGGATACAGCCACACAGAAACCAGCACAACACCTTCGAAGCTGTACTTGCCTGACGGGAGTTCCGGGATGACCCAGGAGCAGCTGAAAAGAGCGTTCAAGCGGCAGGGCAGCCAGCCCCCATCTCTCAGGTGAGCATCAGAGCCAAGGTCAGGGCTTTCCAAAACCAAACACCACCTGGTACACGTCCAGCCACTCGCGGCTTTCAGGGGCCTCTCTTGGTCTCTGTACTCTCACTGCTAGCCTGTGAGGGAGGCGGGGCCAGAGGGTCGTGACCAACCAGGAAGAAAATGAAGCCAGAGGTCATGCCTTCTGATGTTCTGTGGGGAGGCCTTCTCTGCCCTTCCCATCACCCAAGCTGTCGATGTCTTGAGTTGAGGATCCCCAGCTCACTTGGAGTGGCACACCGGACTGGTGTGGCTAAGAGTTCCCTGCATTCAATGATGAGCCTGCCCCAGAGCTTCTTGTGGGTGACACTTTTATTTCTTTGATCTTGTTTTTACCTCCATTCGTTCATAATGAGCCACAGGGATTTCTGAGGTAATGATTTTTGAATATTCAACTAGTCCTGCCTGCGCCTGGAATGAGCAAGCCTCTTGATTATAACTGGATTTAATTTATTAGTATCTTATTTGGGACTTGAGTGCATAGATTCATGAAGGAGACTGGCTGGTGGGGTTTTCCTGTTGCCACTTCCTCGTTGGATGCTGGCTTCCTTCTCTTCTCTTGAAGAGTGAGCATAAGATTGATGCTTTGTCTTCTTCAAGACGTGGTAGAATTTAGTGGGAAGGACTCCTAAAGGGTATTAAATTGTATACTCAATCAAAATACTTTTAATTAGAAACTTTCATTCTTTGTCAGTTTGGCAAAGTTATATTTTTCGAAGATGTTGACAATTTTATCTGTATTTAGAATATTGATATTAATCACACAGTTAAAATATGCTTTTTTTTTGCTTTCATGATCCACAGTGATGTCTCTGCTTCATTCTTGAAATTGTCAATTAGTAGTGGTTAACATGTCAGTAATCTGTCATTACCATCTTGTACACTTGAGTGTGTGTGTACATCACACCCCATTAGTCTTGCTTATATTTTCTAGGAACCCCTTTGGCTTTATGTTTGAGGTTTTTTTTTTTTCATTAATTTGGGCCCTTTTAACTGATCTCATTAGTTCTACTTTCTTTTGGTTTGTGATTGTGTTCTAGTTTACTGTTGTGGGTCCTTAATGTTTGACTCTCAACTTTCCTCTTATGTGGCGTCTTTGCACATGACCTTCCGTCGCCGTAGGTGTTCTTCTTGGCGGGCGGTGAGTCCCACACTTGGAAGGTTTCATTGCACTTGTGAGGGAAACCTGTCTTTAAAAACCTCTGCTGCTCCCCCAACTTCCAGCTCCTTCTTTGACTTCCAGCAGTTTGGATGCAACCCAGTGTGGTTTTCACTGATAATTCTTTTTGGGTAGGTGAACCTTTCTGAAATTGAGAATGGATACTTTTCATCAGTTTTGAAATATCATCCTCTGTTGACTCTTTAAATACTGGTTTTGTTTCACTCTGTTTCTTTCTTTTGTTTTGGTCTGGGTCTCTGCTTACACATATAGTCTTTTCGCCGTGTTCATGTGGTGTGGCTTTTTAACATTCTTCATTTTTCCTGTCATTCTCCCTCTGTGCTTCCATCTGGAGATTGCTTCCTTTTTGGAGTGAGGTCTCACTGTCCGGGCTAGTTTCAGACTCCTGGCCCCCAGGGTGCTGGGGCTGTAGGAGCACACACCAGCCCAGCCCCCATCTGGATATTTTTTTCTTGATCTATTTTTTGGTTTATGTTTCTTCTGTTTTGTCATGTCCAATATACTGTTAAACTTATTAAATTACTTCTTAATTTTAATTACTTATTTTTATATTTTAGAATTTTTATTCACTTAAAAAACAGGTTTCAGCAGCCCCTTTAAGATTCTCCTTAAATTCAAGTATAGGATTGATCATGGTTTTACAGTTCCCACCCCAGATTCCTGTGAGTCAGCTGCTGCTGTCTAGTTTTCCATTGAACTTTAGTTCTGTTCTGTGTTCTATTTCCACGCAGTTTTGGTAATTTTGACCAGACTCTAGTCATTGGGCATGGAGAATAGCTAAATTGGAATGCCTTAGTGCAGGTATGGAGGTCAGAGAGAAACTTTTGGGAGTCCATTGTCTCCTTCTCCACGTGGAGAAGGTTGAATTCAGGGGCTCAGTCAGTCTTGACTGGAAGCTGCTTCACCTGCTGAGCCATCACGTCATCTTATTCAAAGGAGGATTTTACTTCCTTTCAGTGGATGGTAGTCTCTGGTTGCTTTTAGACTTTGCAAAATACCTCTTCTAATTCTGTTATTGTCTTCAAATTTTGTTTATCATGCCTCTTTTGAGTAATGATCCTTAATCTTGTGCAATCAATCTTGTTTGGTATACCCTTTCATTTTCAACTCTTACTAAATTCTTTCTTGATTTTATGTTTCAATGTTCTGGTGCGTTTTTCTGTTCACATATCATCTTCACTTTCCTGTTTATGTGTTTACTTGTCTGTTCCTGCTGGGGTGAAAAAGCCCCCCCCCCTTTTGTCTTTGGAAAGAGAGAAGCTTTCCCTGAGCTGTCTACTCGGTAATGTGTCCTTCCACAGTGACCCGCGATGTCGCCTGTGCTCCTTGCTGGTCTTCAGGCAGGGCTCTCTAGATCTCCCACTGACTCATTTCCTCCCTCCCACTGCCCTTCCATTCTTCTCTCTCCCCCTTCTTTCCTCCGTCCTTCTGTCCTTCCATCACGCCCGCTTATTTGTCTGCTGCCTTCTTTCTACCTTGAAGCCACTGTGACCCTGTATTGCTCACTCTGTGTCCTTCTCCTCCATCACTGTACTCAGGTCTTTATTCTTTCCACAGGGTTGTTTCTATAGTACAGCACGTCCACCCCTCCTGTGGAGGGGACAGCTCGGCCTCTTCTGTAAGGCCGTGCTCCCCACCATCCGATGCTGTCCCTCTCTTGTTAGTCATGTGTCCACGCTTTCTTCTTTCACAACGTTTATCAGTACCAGAGATTCCTGGGTTTCCTTACTTGTCTATTGTCCGGCTCCTCCACTGCAGGTTATTTTCACAAAGACAGGGACCTCTATGTTCCCTGCCTTTCGGACAGTCCCTGGTGTGCAGAGATACTCCACAAATGGTTGCCTAATGGGACCATCACCGCTGCTGACAGCCGGTGTAGAAGTCAGGAATTCTTTGATGTGCACCCATGCTATGAAAAGCACTGTTCTGTGTTCTAGTCGTCAGGTCTGCGAGGGGTAAGCCCATTGCACAGAGGAGGAAACACACTCAAAGGTGTCAATTTGTCCACATTTATGCATCTAGTGAGACCAGAGCAGAGTCTGCTGAGCACGTGAACGAGTGTGTCATGTCTGTCCCCAGGACGAATCCTGTGCACAGCCTTTGGGTGGCGCTCACTGTCTCCTAGCACCTTTGCTGCTGCCGACTGTCAGAGTCCTCTTCGTGCCGAGCCAGTCAGCTTATCTCTAGTTTAATGCAGCATCTTTGTGTGTTCTCCTCCATTGCCAGAGAAGCTCTGCACCAGAGAAGGGAGACACATCAAAGCTATGGCTGACCCGTTCTCATGTTGTGGTGTGAGGGAGTGGCTCTGGTGTGCAGAGTGGGGGGCCTGGGGTCCTCGGTTCTCACTTGGTTTTCATTTTGCCCTCGTCCACTATCTCTGGCTTGCTCACACTCCCCCTGGGCTTTGGTGCCTGTGACTGTTACCGCACCCTGCTTGCACACGTTGCTGGCCAGAGAGCCTCGCTGCCAGAGCTCTTCTGCCGCTTGTGGGAAGCAGCAGGCATTCGCTGAGTCAATCAACATTACATCTCTGTGTGTGCATTCTTACCCCTCTTCCTCCCCTCTCCTTTTCCTCTTCCTCCTTCTCTCTTTCCTTCTCCCTCTACATTCTTGGGCACCATATTAAACACATCACGTTTTCTCACTTGTTCTTCATAATAATCCATTGAGGCACATATTATTTTTGAAGTTAGGGGGAGGTTTCTATTAGATAGTCACCCGTCAAACAAGTTAATAAAACAAATTAAAAAAACAAAAGGCAGTGGTAGCAAGAGCTGGGTGCCATCTCTGTGACTGCTGAAGTGAGGGAGGGGAGAGGTCAGGAGGTCTCGAGTGCTGGCGAGCCCAGGGAGGCAGCCTTCTCTAGCTCACTGGGGGCTGGAGCCTGCGTCTTTGTGTGGCCACCTGGTGTGGAGTCACCCTTGGAAGAACTGCTCACTCCTAGAAGGAAAGGGGTTGGCCCTAGTATGTCCCTTTATCTCCACAAAGTTTAGCCATTAGACAAGTCCCACCTCCTCCTCCCCTAAGGAGGCACGAAGGAAAGCAGAAGGCCTCTGAGGTTGGGAGCAGTGAGCTTTCTCCATACCAAGGAGTTGTCTACACTCACACAAACCATTGTTAGGAGCAGGGGCGTGGATGGTCTGATGGTGTAGGCAACTGTGGGCCTGCATCCATTTCCTACTATAAGCTTAAGAATTGTCAACATCCTGGGTGCTAACAGCACAGCATCTGACCGACCACACAGAGGTCAGGGATCCGAGCTGAGACTCACTAATGCTGAGCTGGGGGCAGGACTGGTTGCCTTCTGGGGGCTAAGGGAAGAGTCTCCTTACCCTTTCCAGACCCAAGTGGCGGCTGCTGGCCCCTGGCTGCTGGTCCCTTCTCCCAGTCAAAGCTGACCACATTTGCTCAGTCCGCTGTCGTCTCTAGACTTTCTCCTCTGTTGCTGTCTTACAGGCAGGAATCTGTGAGGACATGGGGCCTTCCTAGAAAGCCAGGCTGCTCGCCTCACCTGAGATCATGTGACCAGCAGCCATCTCCAGCTTTCGTTTGCTCTTGCTGCTTAGTCTGACATTAGTGCAGCAGGCCTGGGGTTAGCATGGGAGCCTGGGGTTAGCATGGGAGCGTTTTTAGAGAACAAGGTCGTTACTTGCAGCATTTTCTTGCAACATTTCAGAATTCTCACTACAGTTTTTAAAGATTGTCCTCTGTCCTCAGTCTGTCTCTCTGTACCTTCCAGGAGTTGGCATTTTTCTGTATTGGCCTTTTTCTTTTCTTTTCTTTT